AACCGTACTTGAGATGGAGATGGAAGGGAGAGAAGGGCCTCCCCAGTTCCAATTCAGTCCCAAATTGATTGTTTCCATTGAACCATTGAGTACAGGAATACAACTACTTTGCCAGTAAAACTCATTAAATGTCATAAAATCTAGTATAATCTGAAAAATAACTTATTCAACTCATGGCATGTTTTGATGTTTCATATATCATTCCCTGTGTTCAAAGCATATGTCACCCTAGGCAACAGGAGGTAGAGAAATCAACATCAAAACATCTGTCTCTACTTTTGTATAACACATTTCAGAATTCCTAAAAGGAGAGCTTTAGTGGGGAACTCAGTACATCTCTTTGATTTGTAGTAGCTATAAATTACTCTTAGTAACCTACTTTAATATAAACATGTCACTCAAATAACTAACCTAGCAGATGACACAAAAATATGCCGTTCCTAACATCCACTGTGCATATATTCAATCTGCTTATAATTTTGCATTAGAGATAACTATGCTTATAGCAAGAAATTATTTGAAGCCTCTACTGTACAGCTGGATTAATTTTTCTCTATTCTATTTTTTTTTAAAAGAACACAAAAGAAAAGATTAATCTTCTTCAGATAACAAATAAATTTCTGATTCTCCAGTATTTCTAATGGTTCTACTAGGAGCTCTCTAAAAGAGGCACAAACATTCCCCAGACAACACTATGAAAGCATAAATTTGAGGGGCTGGCATTTGTGTATGCATTTATTTCAATCCAGGCAAATGTACAGTAGAACAAAGGAACCAGTTTGACACCACTGGCATCACCGCCATCACTCTCAAATGATGAGTATAAGAAGCAGATTGTTGATAACTTAATGTGTTTCTACCACATAGTTGCATTATTCGGTACATGTGAGTTCTTTTAATGTAAAAATAAGTAATATAAGCTATATGTTCTGCCTCCAACTTGTTATTCCCCCTCCATTTGTTTGTCACCATTCTATTAAGAATATTTAATAAAAAGTAAAGGTACTATTTCACCTTGACATTAAGTCTATTTGTGTCTGACTCTGGGGGGTAGTGCTCATCTCCATTTCTAACCCAAAGAGCCGGTGTTGTTTGTAGACGCCTCCAAGGCCTTGTGGCCAGCATGACTGCATGGAGCACTGTTACTTTCCCACCAAAGCGGTACCTATTGATCTTCCAGCATACTGGAAGAAGCAAAGACCACCAGCATTGAAGTGATGGTCCTCTGCCATCAACTCCACTGGACCACCATGTTGTCCGGATGCCCGACCACCATCTCCCAAAGCAGTTGCTCTACTCCGAACTCAAGAACAGAAAATGGAATGTTGGTGGCAGGAAAAGAGATTTAAAGATGGGCTCAAAGCCAACCTTAAAAACTGTGACATAGACACAAAAACTGGGAAGCCCTGGCCCTTGATTGCTCTAATTGGAGGTCAGCTGTGACCAGCAATGCTGCAGAATTCAAAGAAGCACAAATGGAGTGCAAAAGGGAGAAACGTGCCAAGAGGAAGGCATGTCAAGCCAAACCTGACTGTGACCGCCTTCCATCTGGAAACGGATGTCCTCACTGCGGGAGAACATGCAAATCAAGAATAGGGCTCCACAGTCACCTACAGACCCACTGCCAAGACAATACATCTGGAAGACAATCATCCTCGAGCTATGAGGGACCGCCTAAACTTAAGAATGGAAAACAGAATGTTGGTGGACAGGAAAAGAGATTTAAAGATGGGCTCAAAGCCAACCTTAAAATCTCTGGCATAGACACTGAGAACTGGGAAACCCTGGCCCTTGAGTGCTCCAGCTGAGGTCAGCTGTGACCAGCAGTGCTGCAGAATTTGAAGAGGCACGAATGGAGGGTGAAAGAGAGAAACGTGCCAGGAGGAAGGCCGTTGAGCCAACCCCGGCCGAGACCGTCTTCCACCTGGAAACCAATGTGGAAAAAGATGCAGATCAAGAATAGGTCTCCACAGCCACCTACAGACTCACAAGAATTCTGATCCTGGAAGACTATCCTACTCGGCCAACGAGGGATCACCTAAGTAAAGTAAGTAAGTAAGTACCTATTGATCTACTTATATTTGCATGTTTTCGAACTGCTGGATTGGCAGAAGCTGGGGCTATCAACAGGAACTCACCCTGCTCCTTGGATTCAAACTATTGAACTTTCGGTCAACAAGTTCAACAACTCAGCGGTTTAACCCACTGCACCATAATAATAACTTTATTCTTATATCCCACCACCATCTCCCTGAAGGAACTCAGGGCAACTTACACACAGCACGAAAATGCCCAGAAACACAGCAAAAAATAAAACATAATATAAAATACCATTCAGTAACACAATAAGCATATAAAACAACAATTTAAAACTCAATTAAAACAATGCTTGTCTGGTGGTATGTAACTGTAAACATGACCAGGCTGTAAACAATGGACAAGGGAATGGGATAAGTGCAAAGATGCAAAGTGCTGCCATGGGACAAGGGCATGGAATATAGTGCAAAGTGCATAACAACAAGCATTTTCAAGAGCTTGTTTGAACATCCAGGTCTTCAACTCCTTATAAAAAGTGGACAATGTGGGGGCTTGCCTTTCCCTTTCTTGAAGATGGCAGGTCAAAAAAATGAAGTGGCAATCTATGGTGTCCTCAGATATTACAACACCTCTTGCTCAATATAATATATTAGACTTACTCTGGTTTTGTTTTGCTTGTGTACTTTGTTACTTCCGATAGATATAAAAGTTCATAGGTTAGCACTGTAAGAGTACAACTCAGTCTTCAGGCTCATTCTAACCTTTGCAAGTCATGGTATATGTCATTGTATCCTTTCAAAATAACATGATGCTGTCAGAAATAGAGGCCCAAGAGACCTGTCATCTTGGATCTCGTTCTTGCTTTTTCAGTACCTTATTCTTGTCAAAATATTTTCCCTTACTTACTGTCAAAAAATGGTCGTAGATACTTATTATATCCTTTCATTATCTTCTGTATGGTTGGAGGAAGGATTTCACCTTTTCCTTCAGCAGTGGAAACATTTGTTAATCTAGACATAATGAGAAAAGAGAACAGATGGGTTAGTTGAGGGTCAGAGATGCAAAACTGTGTCTACAGTATTGATAGATTCCTAATCTGAGAGTGGTTATTTTTATGTTTCATAATAGCTACATAAAGCAAAACCTTCATCCCTAGGATTCTCGATTTGGTAAGCCTATTAATCCCTCAGTAGCGAAATCTACTAGTCTTTTGGTTTACAGAAATTGTTTACAAATGCCCTAAGCAGC